GCAGGAGCGTGGCACCAACCCACGCTGTACCTCGACATCCAGCTATTCCAATTCAGTGGAAGGAGCAGTTGTTGACGCAGTTTGCCCGCTCTATGTTGATTCCCCAAAGTTGACTCCGCAGAAGAACCTCACTGACGCTACCTTGGACCTGATCAAACGCAAGCAGTACTTTCAGATAATGCTACCCGACATCGCTCGTGGCTATACAAATGCATCTTATCGCAGTTCTGGCTGGCGGCAAAGCGGGCAAAGCAGGCAGTGCGATCGGAGAAGCGACAGTGCATTGCGGCCCTGGTTGCCGATGCGGAGCGGGCCGATGCAGTGCATGATATCCGACGCTGCTACTCGACCGTTAAGCGCCTCGCGCCTAAGCCCCGCGTGCCCATGCTGACCGTCCGCAGCCCAGCCACGGGCTACCCGTGCTTCGACGATGACGAGGACCAACGGGTCCGCACCGATGCCGTCTGCGCCATCTTTGAGGCCACTGAGCTGCCCATGCATGAGGATGGAGGCCCCCGGGGCGCCCCCGAAGGGCCCGACGTGGAAATCGTGGGCCAGTGCGACGTGGATGATATCACAGTGGCCCTCAGCAGGCCCCCAACTTCAACAGCTCCCCCGTGCTGAAGTGGACGGACCCCCTGATCTTCATTGGGCCTCGACAGGATCCCGAAGGTGCTGTAGCTGAACCCTGGAAATTAGGAGGTGATCTTGTAGGGGCCCCTCTTCTTAGAGTCTTTCAGGCCGCCCGAGCTTTGCGCCGCGCTCCACGTGGGCTTAAACGTGGGGGGACGGTTTCACGGCGAAAACCCAAAGGGCACGGGGGCAATGCCAAAGATCACTACTGGACGATCAATCTTATTGGCCACGTCGGCACAGCATTCGCCGACGTGTCATCGTGCCTGAGCTGCGTGCAATGTCAGGCCGGCTCTCTGCTACTCAGTTTGGGGCCCTTCAAGGTCGATCGACGCGAGACGCCGTCGCTTTTGTCGACGAGATCGGCCGTCGCTTCCGCGGCGACCCCTGTCGCGCCAAGGCCAACTATCGCATCTGGACTGCAGCGTTGATCGACCTCGAGAAGGCCTTGGACCTCCTGACTCGAAGTCAAATTTGGGAGGCCCTAGATAAGCTGGCGCTCTCCCGTGGCACCCGTCTGGTTACGGAAGAGCTCCGCAATGGGGCCTGCTATATCCTCCGAGATGCCCGAACTAACAGACCCTGTAGGCAACTACTTATTCGCAAAGGTGTACGGCAAGGCAGTGTAGAGTCGCTATCTACGACCTCATCACGAAGGACATAGGCTCCAAGGCGTTTGAGGAGGGTTTCCAGGGCGTCCAGGTGCAGTGCGACCCCCAGTTCCAGGTCTTCAGGAGTTCGGTCGGTTTCATGGTTATCGCGTTGAGGCCGTTAGATGCGTCCTAGGTCAAGTTCGTAGATGATCGCTGACGGTGGTCGACGACCTAGCGACCGTTTCCGAGTTCCTAGAGTTTCTGAGGACCAACGTTAATACCAGCGGCTCAACCATGAATGTTCCGAAAACCGAGCTGATGGCGAGTGTTGCGGGGAAGGGGCGCCGGAGGGTAAGGGCGGACATCGGTGCTGAGCAGACTGACATTAGCTTGGCCCGCGCCGACGGCCCACCTCGTGCGACCCACCCGACGCCGACTGTAAAGTACCTTGGCTGTTTGCTTTTGGCGACGGGCTCGTGCTCGGCTGAGGTCATGGCCCGTCTGGCGTCCGCCAACCAAGCCCACGGCCGGCTGTCCCAGAAGGTGCCGAGGGGGACCTTGGCGTGCGTTTAAGGATACGCGCGTGGAATTCGCTAGTACGGTCCATCGCTCTTTCTGCATTAGAAGTTGCCTTCCTCGCGAAGACGGATCTGAGAAACTCGAGCGATGGCAACCCAAGAAACTTCGACATATTCTTCGTTCCCCCGCTCACCATCACCATGTCTCTAATGCAGATATTCGACGTCGTGCCAAAGTATATAGCACGGGTTCTACTTTGCTTTATCGTGGGCTGCAGTGGTGGCGACATGTGATGGCTCCTGGGCTCCAACCAGAACCCTTCGAGTATGGCCCCGCCGAGGCTGTGCGGGCTGTAATATTCGGCTGACTATCGTTCGAGGTCCCCCGAAGTCGAAATCATAATTGTCGATTGGGGTAGCTTCTCGCAGATCTTCGTGCGTTGTGGGCCTGTCTTCCTGCGGAGATCCAGTTGCGCGCTCCGAATGATGAATGATTCGCCGAGTGTTTCGCGAGATTGGCTGGGGTGGCTGGACGTGCTCTCACATGCAGAGCTCAAGGCCGCCCTCTCGCACGAAGCTGAGAGCGACCAGCTCCGCGAAGCTGGGGGCGTTGATGAAGCACGTCGCCTCGTCTGCCCAGACCGTGGAACAGAAAACGTGTCATGGCCAGAAAGGGATAGAGAATCACAGGTTTGCGGTCCATGGTGTTGCGGTTAATCGTTTGGATATCCCCGAATGCGACTTGAGAGCCAGGAGATGTCCCTTCTGCAGTGCTTTGTTTTATCGTGGGGATGTCCTCCTTCGCCATGTCGAACGCCGTTGCCCTCGGCGCGTCGGCTCTCGGCGCGCTCCAGGGCCACCTGCGGAGCAGCTGCCGCCGCCGCCCCCCTCGGCACCCCCTCCAGATGTTCGAGCCCGCGGCGGGCGTCATCAAGAAGAGGGGCGCGGCCGAGGCCGAGGTCGGCGAGGGCGGGGCCGAAGCCGGGGAAGCGGAGCCGACTGGCATCTCGAAGAAGGACAAGCTCATTGCGAAGTTGCTGCTCTGGCGCGAGGACAACTTCACGGGCTCGGCGCGCGACCAGAACGTGGTAGTGAAGCTGGGGGCGGGCTCCCAGATGCAGCTGGCGCTCGCGGCGGGCATCCAGAACTGCCGGAAGGTCGGGGGGGGCGCGCGCCGCGGTCGCGCCCATCGAGATTCGCGGCCACCCACGCGGGAAGAAACCCGACGGGCACCTCCGCACGTTGCCGTTCCGCCTGAGCGAAGCGATCGAGGGCAGGTTCGAGGGCGTTCGCGCAGCAGTGACCCAAGGGCCGCTCCCAGCCGAGTCGAAAGAGGCGCTGCGCCTGGTGGTCGAATTCGGCAAGAGTTTGAACGACAGGGGAGTGAAGCTGACAGCGACCCGCTGCTTCGACGCGCAGACGAAGGCAGACGTCGACGGCGAGACGGTGGAAGAAGCCAAGTGGATGTTCGCTGCTATGTCCTATCCTCCACTCATGTAGGCTATGTGCTGCCTGAAGGGGAACGGCGGCCTGCAGTCGGTGAGCGCGATGCTCGAGGGCGACGCCGCCCCGAGGAGCAAGGCCGCGAAGGAGCTCGAGGGGATGGTGTTCCAGGGGGGCGGCAGCGGCGGCGGCGGCAAGAAGGGCGCCAAGCGGCCCAAGAAGAAACGAGCGCCTCCCCTGAGGTCTTCAGAAAGCTCCGTGGATTAGACCGGTTTTTCAGGCCTGGAACTTTTTAGGCCCCTGGAACGGTGTTGGGCCCATGAAATCTTGGGCCACGCGTGAGAATGAGGGTGCTGGGCAACTTTTGGGTCGAGGGCCTCCGCGGGACTGAGGGTCCTGCAGCGGCCGCTCTCGAAGTGCCATCCCCTTAGAGGAGGGGGTGCTCGAGGGCGGGACCTGGTGGGCGTGGGGCCAGCTTCCTGCTTCCTTGCCTCTGCGCTCCCTTCAGGCCCTAGCAAATTTGTTCTCGAGTGAATTATGCTGCGCCGAGGTTTCGGTAGTTTTTGATTGGGCCCGTCGCAAGACATCCAAAGTGACGCTTAGAGGGTGTAGCGTTGGTAACAGGAAGGTGGTGGGGGTAAAACATGCGCCCCCAAGAGATGGGTTCAGGGTTTCCGGAATCCTCCATGTCGTGCGTGCTCAGTCGCGGGGCCTCTTGCCAGTCCCTCTTGCCGGCTGCCTGGATGGGGGAAGATGTGGAGGGCTCGAGGCGCTCGGGGATCGGGGCGTTTGGTTGGTCGTTGCAGTCGGACCGGGGTATAACATCGAGGTCGGTTCGGGGAGGGTGCCCTCACGCTCTTCGTGCTTGTTGGATGTTCTTGTGCAGTGCATCCTGGTGGAGGGCACCGTCGAATGCTTTTCCTTTTGGCCGGTGGAGGGTCTCATGTTCTTGAAGGATTTTCTTCTGTCCTAGGTCCGACTGTATGCCCATGATGCCTGTGCGCAGCGACAGACGGCCCTCCTCCCTTCGCTCTGACTAGCAGGAACAGAAACACTTGAAAACACGTTTGAGTACGCGCCGATTCTGTGATTTCCGCGATTGGTCCTCACGTGCTGCAGCATCTGCCGTGCTGGCGGTCTGCTTGTTGGTCGAGCCCGCAGATGGCTCGGCCTCAGCCGCCGTGCTCGCCGATCTCAGCTCCAGGGTGCCGTGTCGGGCTCCACGCTGCAAAACAACGATATCATACGCTGTGAAGGAAAGATGCGACGTCGCGCGAACAATCATGACCAGAACCTGCGGCTCCGTCCTCCTCCTCCTCCTCCTCCTCCTCCTCTTCCGTCCTCCTCCTCCGTCCTCCTCCGTCCTCCTCTTCTTCCTTCTCCCCTTCCTCGTCGTCCTCCTCCTCGTCTTCCTCCTTCTCCTCGTCCTCCTCCTCGTCCTCCTCCCTCGCCCCCGCCTCTGCCCCAGTCTCACGAGCCGGGCCGATGTTCTGCTGTTCCAGGTCCGACTGCACCTTCTGGGGGGGGGCGTCCTACCGAGGCGCCCCTCGTGCTTGCCAAACGGGGCCCGCCCCTCGGAGTCCAGCAAAAGGGCGAGATCAGACGCCGTGAAGAAAAACGCGATTTCGCGCGAAAAATCATGACCAGAGTCCGCGGCTCCTCCTCCTCCTCCTCCTCCTCCGCCTCCTCTTCCTAATTGTCCTTTCGTCGCCATTTGTGCTCAAGATTGCAATCGTCTTCAAACACAATATACGCAGTTCTTGTCTCGCGACAAAACAATAACACCCTCTGTCCATACTCGTCTTGAGTGCCCATGGCGGCCATCAAGCTCCCTATCGTCGTGATCGCCCGTCTTCTTCTGCCAACTCGCGGGTGGGAGCGTGTGGCCGATAATGTGGCGTCCGACGTGCAGGTGATCCAGACTCGTGTCCACGACCAGGACTTCGACGTGCCAGCGCATGGATCGGCTGGTTGTGTTGACAACGATTATGGCGCCGTCCAACTTGCAAAAGATCATGCGCGTGTGTCTGATGTCAGTGGTTGTTCGGATGTCGGTCCGTACTGTGCAGACGCGAACTTGTCGAGCCAAGTTCTTGCAGTGTGCTGCGCCACTTGCAGCGAGGGGCCCGAGCCAGAGCCCAACGTGGTGCATTGCCAAGATCATTATGATTGCCAGTCTTCGGAATTTTGCTACGATGGTACGTGCGACAGCTGCAGCCAGTGCCAATTCTGCTCCGACGCTGCTTACGTCGACGAGTGTGGGCATTGCGGACCAGGGTTCCCCTCGCATGAGACGATTCCCTGCCACTCCCATGAATACGTGGTCACCAAGGGGTCGCTTACGGTGACACATGCATGGAAAAATTTGTCCTCAGAAGAGCAGCTGCTCTTTCTCGAGAAGAAATTTAGCGAGCTCGACAAAGATCAGTCTTCGACCCTGGACGTGGACGAGCTAGTGGGCGCCCTGATCGGACAGGACCTCGTCGCGATCGAAGCCGCCAACGGCACGCTCAACACTCCCTTTGACCAAGTGCTACTTCCCAGGGCTTCGGTGCAAGAGTTTGTGGAGAAGCACAGCGCCCATGGCAGTGCGTTCTTGACCCTCGACGAGTGGCTCGCCACAACTCCTCAGCTGACACAGCGAGCTGCCCCCCAGAAGGCGTTACGTGGGCCTTCGTGCACCTTCGAGAGTATCTTCTCACTTCCCAGCACCTGCTCGGAAACACAATGGGTGGACAATTGCGGGAACTCTTGCAATAACGCTTGTACTAGTTGCCCGAGATTGGCGCATACGAATTCGAGCGCGGTTGCGCGAGTTTCCCGAGATTCGGGCTCCGTTGCGCGAACATCTCAAGAGCTTGAGTTCTGGGGCGGGAGGCGCCGGCGTCGTTGGTGGAGCGTCGTCGTGGATGTGGTAGAGACGGTCGTCGATGTGGTCGTGTGCACTGTGAGCTGCGTCACCAACTGCGTGTGGTCGTGTTTCACCGAGGCAGTGGAGTACGTGTACACGTGCGTGGTCGACACTGTTGTGAATGTGCTCATGAGCTTCGGAGAATGTTTGTCAGCTGTGGTGAACGCCGTCAACGACGCGGTCGGTGACATGTGCGGCTTCGATCTCATTCCCACAAGTTGTTCTGGCGTCTGGGATTGCATTTCGGAGGGGGTGAGCAATGCTCTCTCATTCTTCGAGTGTGGATTCTCGATACTCTTGGATATTCTCGAGAACATGGTCATGGCAAATCTCCGTTGTCTGCCGAACATCGCCGACGGCATCAGGGCTGCCCTATTCCCTCCCGAAGCGATAATTGCTACTACAGTTTTCGAGGCTTTGTGGAATTTCGGCGAGAGGGTCGTGAACGGGATCTACTCAGAAGCTGCGGCCGTGAGCATCGACTTCTGTTGGAATTCAGCCCCCACCGCCGAATTCACTGACTGTGGTGCCTTCGATTTCGTCAGCAGTATGACTATTTGGGACGTGCTTGACGTTTTCGGGATGGCCCAACGTTTCGCGGATACCGTGGCGAAGTTCACCAATTGCCTCACGAAGACTACAAGCCTCCCAGGGCTTAGTTTCGGCATCCCCACTCCCTTCCTGCAAGTGGATTGGACAGGAGGCTCGTGGTGTGCGCCAAGCTTTGTCCAAACTGCGGCCAAAGGAGTCATTGGCGTGTTCAGGTACATAGCTTCAGGACGGATGCTCGATGACCTCATCATTGTAGGTGACAACCTACTGACCAATCTTCAGACGAGGCTGGAAGCAGTGTTCTGTGACGAAGGTGACTTTACCATCACATTGGGCGTCGACCTCCAGTTCGGATACGCAGTTCTTGGCATCAAGGCTCAGGCTGGATGCCTCAATGGAAGATTCGCCGCCAAGATTGTCGGTTTTGCCACGGGCAGAATTTCCATCTTCGGTTCGCCGTACACGTGGGAGCCATCTGCCTCCGCGTTCTTCAGTATCGGTTGTACAGCGGGGCCCTCCAGCACGGAGTGGTCGTACTGGGAGTCGTCTCTGAACGGCATCCTGGCATTCGATATTTTCAGCGGGACGGTTTCTCTGCCTCTCTATCCACAGCCGAAGCTCGAGTTTGGCTACTCGTTCTCGCTCAAACTCTGGCCCCAACCAGCCCCGCCTCCCCGCCTGTCGGAGGGGGAGTTCAACAAGACATCGCTGCTGCCGGCGCTGCGCCTCCTCTCTGGGGCTACGTCCGACCCCAGCTTCGGCGAAGACGTCAAGAGCAAGTTCCCAGACCCCAAGCCAATCCTCGAGGGGGCCCGCAACGGCTCGCTCGAGAGGTCCAACATGAACAGGAGTGCCGGTGATCTCGCCGCCAGGATCGCCATCTCCGTCACGAAGAACTTCTGCTTCACTTGCGACGATTTCGGATCGGAGCCTGCCTGGGTCACGGGCCTCTCCAACATGGCTCAGAAGTTCGCCTGCGCTGTGGGCCAGGCGGTGGCGGGAGCCTCCTGGGGTGCGCTGAGCCTCGCCCAGTGCTTCGCCCGGGTGACGCAGTGGGAGGCGGCTGGGAACTACTGCGAGTATTTGTACTCCGACTCTCCGAACGACGGCTCCGACATTCCGGGGACCACTTGCGCCTGTATGCCACCGAATGCGATGTCTTCCGGGGCTTGCTACGCGGCGGTTGGAACCAGGGCCAGCGAGGGGTCTGCGCAGTTCGTGACTTACCGGCATCAGAGGCTGACTTGCGAAACTGGGAGCGGAGCGGCATGCAAGACTTGTGTCACTCCGCAGGACCGAGTGGTGAGAGACCAGTGTGAGACCTGCAACGACGGCCACATACTGCTCGGCTACGTGTGCTCGGCCTACACGCCGTCGCCGACGCCAAATCCGACGCCGTATCCGACGCCAAGCCCAACTCCATATCCAACGCCATATCCGACGCCAAGTCCAACGCCGTATCCAACGCCATATCCGACGCCATATCCGACACCTTATCCGACGCCAAGCCCGACGCCAGAACCGACGCCAAGCCCAACGCCACTGCCACCGGGCGCCACGCATGTTCCGACGCCGAGCCCGACGCCAGAGCCGACGCTGTATCCGACGCAAAGCCCGACGCCAGAACCGACGCGGTATCCGACGTCCAGCCCGACACCAGACCCGACTCGGAATCCGACGCCAAGCCCGACGCCAGAACCGACGGCGACCATGGCGACCTGCGTGGATATTCCTGGGTGGGGGAGCAAGGATGGTACACCTTGCTCTTGGTATAACACGGCCAATGTTTGCACCACGTCTGGAGGCTATGCATCGGGATGGCATTCTGGATGGGGCACATTTGCAGATTGGGCGAACGATGGATATGACGGTTCGACAGCATGTTGCGGTTGTGGTGGGGGCACGTCACCGACTCGTTGCCAGTACATCGAGATCCCTTCAAATACATTCGGGTATGTCCAACTGCCGTATAGTAGCAACATTCGAGCTTTGTCAATGTGGCTTGCGCCGTACAAGGATGGAGGCTATCACTGGGAGTACATATTTGACGCACGTACCGGATTGGGCTCTGGACATTTCTCTTTTCTCGATTGGTCATCTGGATCTGGCAGCGCGCGTATTGACAAGGGCAGCTATTGGAGAGATACGATATATGTCAACGGAGTTGCCGCTACTACTAGTACCCTTGTTGCGAGTGTCAATGCTGCCACCACCACCTACGCCCCGTGGATTCACTTGTACGTATCGTCAGACAGAACTTTCGGCGACGATATAACGGTGTTCGCCCGATTCTCGCTCTCAGAGAATTTGCCTGGAAAGATCCATTCTTTGGCACTGTGGCCGTCAGAGTTGTCCCCGTCTGACATTTTGGCTGCGGCTTCGGGACAGACGACATCAGTAACGCCCACGCGTTCCTATTCCGCGGCAGATTTAAGGTTGTACAGATCGGGGACCGCGTCCCTCGTCGCCAATGAGGTCGGTACTGCGCAGTGCCCGCCAAGCCCGACTCCAGCTTCGACGTCGCATCCCACGCCGAACCCGACGCATAGCCCGACGGCACACCCGACGCCGAACCCGACGCGTAGTCCGACGGCACACCCGACGCCAAACCCGACGCGTAGTCCGACGGCACACCCGACGCCAAACCCGACGCGTAGTCCGACGGCACACCCGACGCCAAACCCGACGCCGTTTCCGACGCCAAGCCCCACGGCAAGCCCGACTCCGTCTCCGACGCAGTATCCAACGCCAAGCCCGACGCCAAGCCCGACGCCGAGCCCGACGCCAAGCCCGACGCCATCTCCGACGACAAGCCCGACGGCAAGCCCGACGCCGTCTCCGACGCAGTATCCAACGCCGAGCCCGACGGCAAGCCCGACGGCAAGTCCCACACGGACCCCGACGTCTGCGCCCACCTACCCCCCGCTTGGGGACGTGCATGCATCAGGTACTTGTAGCTGCTCCAGCCCTCCCTGTGGATGTAACTGTTGGGATTGCACAGAAGAGCGTCAAGCTGCTGGATGTTGCAGTTGCGAAGATGGGAAGAGTTGCGGTTATGGCGATACAATGACTTTGTGCGACGGTTGCATGGGTTGTTGGTACAAGGGCAAATGTGGTTGCAGTACAGATTCGGTTACTTGGCCCTTCTATGATGTATTCGGTCTCACGTGCTCGAGTGATGCAGGCAGCTATCTGTCCTACCATGCAGTGCCACCGACCTCAAGCCCGACGCCGAGCCCGACGCCAAGCCCGACACCGTTGCCACCCGGCGTCACGTTGTCTCCGACCCCAAGCCCGACGCCAAGCCCGACGCCAAGCCCTACGCCAAGTCCGACGCTATCCGAAACTCAGAAAACTTGCGGCTGCTCGAACCCACCCTGTGGTTGCAATTGTTGGGATTGCACAGCAGCGCGCAAAGCTGCTGGATGCTGCAGCTGCGACGATGGCTGTGGCTATTTCGATCTTGCAAATTCTTCATGTGACGGCTGCAATGGTTGCTGGCACGGCGGCCTGTGTGGTTGCAGTACAGATTCCTCGACTTGGCTTTACTATCGGGCATTCGGTCTCTCGTGCTCGAATGAAACGGGCAGTTACCTGTCCAATCAAGCAAAGATTGCTGGCGAGTACTCCGCGGAGGAATCTCTTCCAGACGGCGTGACTGCGGAGGACCTCATGAGTTCCACAACCTACGTGTCCGCCAAGAAGACAGGTCTGGCTAATGCTCTGAACGTGTCCGTTTCCGACGTTGAGATCACGGGCTTCGTCATCACGACCCATCCCGATCGACGCCCCGCTGCTGTCCGCCAGCTCTCGCGGGACTCGCACGTCACCGTGACCACGAGCTTCACGGTGGAGATCGTCGGCAGCAAGAGCGCCGCGTCCCTCACCGCCGCGATCGTTGCAAATGCTGACGCCATTGAGGCCGAGACGAACGAAGCTATGGCTGCTTCTGACTGGAGTACTGAGCCGGTCATCAATGTGGCCCCTACGCTGACGGCTCCTTCCGTGGGCGCAGCGGGTTCTACTGCGGGCGTTACCACTGCTCCCACGCCGGTTCCCGTCGTCATTGGGGCCAGCATGGGCGCTGTCGCGGCCACCGGCGACCCGCATCTGCAGAACATCTTCGGCGAGCGTTTCGACCTCATGCAGGCTGGTAGGCACCTCTTGGTCCAGATCCCGAGGGGCGCGCCTACCAAGGTTTCCCTGCTGCGCGTGGAGGCGGAGGCGCAAAGGCTCGGCGAGCTGTGCGCGGACATGTACTTCCAGGAGCTGAACTTGACGGGAAAGTGGGCGGACGAGAAGCAGGCTGGCGGTCTCCGGTACAGCGCAGCAGAGGCCGTCACGGAGGATCCCAAGTGGGTGCAGTTTGGGAGGGTGGACCTCAAAGTCGCTCACGGACGTACGTTGGAGGGGATCCGCTATCTCAACGTCTACGCGAAGCACTTGAACCAGGCCGGGTTCTCTGTCGGAGGCTTATTGGGCGAGGACGACCATAGCCAGGAAGCGACCACTCCTGAAGGCTGCAGGCATCGTCGAATGAGCCTTTAGCAAAGAAAGGACGACCCGAGCACGGCCGCCGTCTCTAGCATGGAGCCTAGCTGGGCCAGCCTGGCGTAGGGTGCATTCCCGGTCCCTCCTGATGCTCCTCCGGGCGGGACAACTTCCCTCACTGGCCCAGGTTGCGGCGGCCAGCTCCGCCCCCTCTTTTTCCCTCTTTTGAGCTTAGCGGCGTTTCCTCTTGCTGGCGCTCACTGGAACTGCGCATCGTTGCATCGATAGTTCTATGCCTGCCTCCATCTCCTCGTCCCCGCTCTCTTCCTCGCTTCCCTCTCTCCTCGCTGTTCCCTCTGCTCCCTCCACACTTCCTTCACTTACCCACCTTTGGCCTTGCCCCACCTTGTACACGTGGGCGTCGCGGCTGTACTGTAGGCCCACCAAAGGATGTTCTAAGAGCCTGTTTTGTGGTTTGCGCGGAATGTGCTTAGCATTTTTCTTGCTGAGATCGTGTGTTTTCGCACCTCGGCTTCTTGTTCTAAGAACATTGTCGTCGTTCTTAGAACGCACTTCTGTTCGAAGAACATGCCGTGGCAGGCCTGAAGGAGTGCCAGGACGGTCCGACCCTGCTCAAAGGCATGCCAGCCGTGGTTCTCCTTTGACCACTCCCCTATCTGAGGGTCATCCGCGACCTGCACCTGCTGCTCCCGCCGCTGCCACCGCCTGCCCCCCTTTCGGCGGCGGGCGAGGGGGGGAAGTGAGAAGAGGCGGCCTGCTCTGGTCGGAAGTCCCCCGGCCTTCTGAGATGTTTCTTAAGCCTTCCACGAAGACGCAGATGATGACCCTGCCGAAAACTGTCCGTCGTGGCGCGTCGCTCAGCTACCCTGAGATACGACGACGCGAAGCACTTGCACCACGTGGTCAAAAATCACGACCGGGGCCCCGGACCCCATCTGTCTGCGCCATCTCCCGAGCCGGATCAATGTGTGAGGGTCCTGGGCTCCGAGGCGGGGCGGGAGCGCCCGTTGTGAGAAAGTTGCAGCGCCAGGATCTCAAGGGAACGTTCAAGGTTCCCCAAGACTTCTACCGCCCAGGACATGATGCACTACAAGATGGCTGTACTCCTATGGCCAGGTCGGACGCACGCCTCCAAGGAAGACGCACAGTACTGGTATGTCCTTGTGCGTTTCATGTTTCACGTTCCCCTTCAAGACCTCCTCGTCCTCGAGCTGCGGGTATACAGCCGTCCACTGGCCAGCATCCTGAGCGTACGTGTAAGTTGGGCCTGTCCCTCTACAGGAGCAATATTCAAACATAGGCAAAACATAGTATGGGGATGTTTTTGTCGGCTATTTTTTGCCAAAAAAGCATTATTGGAGTGTTTTATTTTTCCGTCCAAAATCCGCCTGTAGGGGGACATGCCCGACCTAAGCGTACGTCCCACGCCCGCTGCCCCCGTCTCAACCGAGCTCCATTCGCCTCCCAACGTGCAGATGCCATCGCTGCGTTCCCCGCGATGGACTGGATGCTGCGGATGCCCGCCAGGTGGGGGAGGGGTCTATAACCTCCCTAGGATCCGACGTTGCCAAAAATTGCAACTTCGCCAACAGAAAAAACTCGACCCAGATCCCCGAGCCCTGACCTTCTGCGTCATTTTTCGACCTGGACCGATCTGTGAGGGTCCCGCGGCCCAACATTGGGATGCGTCCCAGCAGCTGCGCCTCGCCGAGGGCATTTTGGGGGTGCCCGGTCGTCCCGGAGGGCTATACGGGAGAGCCGAGCTATGACCCGAAAACCACCATGCGTCCGAGATGGGGCAGGCCTCCTCAGAAGGCCGCGGGGCTTCTCAGAAGCACTCCTAGTTCACACGCGTTTTCGCCCGCTTTCGGGCCCCAGGTCCTGCACAGATCGATCCGGCCAGCAAGTCGATCTCGATCGATGGGGCTTAAGGCTCTGGTTGTGCATTTTCACGATGCTGATTTTTTCCGCCACGTCGGATCTCAGGGGACGGACCGTCCGGTGAGATATTTGGGGGTTCGGTGTCGTTGCACGGTCCGTCATCAGCCCGCCTGGGGACCCCTGAGGTGTAGGTGGCCAGCGGTTTGCCATTCGTGGGCTGTCCTCCAGACGCGGAGTCTTGGATGTTTCAGGCGCTGACCTGGGCCGCCTTGCTCCCCCGAGTCTTCGTACCACGTGGCTAGCGAACGCCCTAGTGCTTACCTCGCAGAGGGTTTCCGGCGAGAAGCCGCTTCCCCGAGGGATCCCAGCACAGGACGCGGGCAGCAACAGAGAATAGGAAGTCGTTTCGCTCCGCGGCCTCGTGCTGACCCTCTGAGCCAGCACCCGAGAGCGCATCGTACATTCGGACCGAGGTATAAGATCGAGGTCGGTTCGGGGAGGGTGCCCTGAGGTTCTTCTTGGTGTTTGTTGGATGTTCTTGCCATCCTGGTGGAGGGCACCCTCGAATGCTTCATTTTGGCTGGCGGAGGGTCTCATGTTCTTGAAGGGTGTTCTTCTGTGCCAGGTCCGACTCCATGCCCATGATGCCCGTGCGCAACGACAGACGGCCCTCCTCCCATCGCTCCGACGACCAGGAACCGAACCACCTCAAAACACGTTTGAGTACGCGCGCGCCGACTCTGTGATCTCCGCGATGGGCCCTCAAGAAATGCAGGAGCTGCCGTGCTGGCGGTCCGCTTCTTGGTCGAGCTCGCCGATGGCTCGGCCTCAAACGCCGTGCTCGCCGATCTCAGCTCCAGGGTGCAGATTCGGTCTCCACGCTGCAAAAGGACGAGATCAGACGCTGTGAAGAAAAGATGCGACGTCGCGCGAAAAATCATGACCAGAGTCCGCGGCTCCGTCTCCTCCTCCTCCGCTTCCACCTCCTCCTCCTCCTCCTCCTTCTCCTCCTTCCGCCGCCATTTCTGCTCAAGACTGCAATCGTCTTCAACACAATATTACACGCAATTCTTGTTTCGCGACAAAACAATAACACCCTCTGTCCATACTCGTCTTTAGTGCCCATGGCGGCCATCAAGCTCCCCATCGTCGTGTTCGCCCGTCTTCTTCTGCCAACTCGCGGTTGGGAGAGTGTGGCCGATAACGTGGCGTCCGACGTGCAGTTGATCCAGACTCGTGTCTATGACCAGGACTTTGACGTGCCAGCGCATGGATCGACTGGCTGTGTTGACAACGATTATGGCGCCGTCCAACTTGCAAAAGATCATGCGCGTGTGTCTGATGTCAGTGGTTGTTCGGATGTCGGTCCGTACTGTGCAGACGCCAACTTGTCGAGCCAGGTTCTTGCAGTATGCTGCGCCACTTGCAGCGAGGGGCCCGAACCAGAGCCGGACATGGTGCATTGCCAAGATCATTCTGATTGCCAGTCTTCGGAATTTTGCTATGATGGTACGTGCGACAGCTGCAGCCAGTGCCAATTCTGCTCCGATGCTGCTTACGTCGACGAGTGTGGACACTGCGGATCAGGGTTCCCATCGCATGAGACGACTCCCTGTCACTCCCATGAATACGTGGTCACCAAGGGGTCGCTTACGGTGACACATGCATGGAAAAACTTGTCCTCAGAAGAGCAGCTGCTCTTTCTCGAGAAGAAGTTTGGCGAGCTCGACAAAGATCAGTCTTCGACCCTGGACTTAGACGAGCTAATGGGCATCCTGATCGGACAGGACCTCGTCGCGATCGAAGCCGCAAACGGCACGCTCAATACACCCTTGGACCAAGTGCTACTTCCCAGGGCTTCGGTGCAAGAGTTTGTGGAGAAGCACAGTGCCCATGGCAGTGCGTTCTTGACCCTCGACGAGTGGCTCGCCACAACTCCTCAGCTGGCACAGCGAGCTGCCCCCCAGAAGGCGTTACGTGGGCCTTCGTGCACCTTCGAGAGTATCTTCTCACTTCCCAGCACCTGCTCGGAAACACAATGGGTAGACAATTGCGGGAATTCTTGCAATAACGCTTGTACTAGTTGCCCGAGATTGGCGCATACGAATTCGAGCGCGGTTGCGCGAGTTTCCCGAGATTCGGGCTCCGTTGCGCGAACGTCTCAGGAGCTTGAGTTCTGGGGCGGGAGGCGCCGGCGTCGTTGGTGGAGCGTCGTCGTGGATGTGGTAGATACGGTCGTCGATGTGGTCGTGTGCACTGTGAGCTGCGTCACCAACTGCGTGTGGTCGTGTTTCACGGAGGCAGTGGAGTACGTGTACACGTGCGTGGTCGACACTGTTGTGAATGTGCTCATGAGCTTCGGAGAATGTTTGTCAGCTGTGGTGAACGCCGTCAACGACGCGGTCGGTGACATGTGCGGCTTCGATCTCATTCCCACAAGTTGTTCTGGAGTCTGGGATTGCATTTCGGAGGGGGTGAGCAATGCTCTCTCATTCTTCGAGTGTGGATTCTCGATACTCTTGGATATTCTCGAGAACATGGTCATGGCAAATCTCCGTTGTCTGCCGAACATCGCCGACGGCATCAGGGCTGCCCTATTCCCTCCCGAAGCGATAATTGCTACTACAGTTTTCGAGGCTTTGTGGAATTTCGGCGAGAGGGTCGTGAACGGGATCTACTCAGAAGCTGCGGCCGTGAGCATCGACTTCTGTTGGAATTCAGCCCCCACCGCCGAATTCACTGACTGTGGTGCCTTCGATTTCGTCAGCAGTATGACTATTTGGGACGTGCTTGACGTTTTCGGGATGGCCCAACGTTTCGCGGATACCGTGGCGAAGTTCACCAATTGCCTCACGAAGACTACAAGCCTCCCAGGGCTTAGTTTCGGCATCCCCACTCCCTTCCTGCAAGTGGATTGGACAGGAGGCTCGTGGTGTGCGCCAAGCTTTGTCCAAACTGCGGCCAAAGGAGTCATTGGCGTGTTCAGGTACATAGCTTCAGGACGGATGCTCGATGACCTCATCATTGTAGGTGACAACCTACTGACCAATCTTCAGACGAGGCTGGAAGCAGTGTTCTGTGACGAAGGTGACTTTACCATCACATTGGGCGTCGACCTCCAGTTCGGATACGCAGTTCTTGGCATCAAGGCTCAGGCTGGATGCCTCAATGGAAGATTCGCCGCCAAGATTGTCGGTTTTGCCACGGGCAGAATTTCCATCTTCGGTTCGCCGTACACGTGGGAGCCATCTGCCTCCGCGTTCTTCAGTATCGGTTGTACAGCGGGGCCCTCCAGCACGGAGTGGTCGTACTGGGAGTCGTCTCTGAACGGCATCCTGGCATTCGATATTTTCAGCGGGACGGTTTCTCTGCCTCTCTATCCACAGCCGAAGCTCGAGTTTGGCTACTCGTTCTCGCTCAAACTCTGGCCCCAACCAGCCCCGCCTCCCCGCCTGTCGGAGGGGGAGTTCAACAAGACATCGCTGCTGCCGGCGCTGCGCCTCCTCTCTGGGGCTACGTCCGACCCCAGCTTCGGCGAAGACGTCAAGAGCAAGTTCCCAGACCCCAAGCCAATCCTCGAGGGGGCCCGCAACGGCTCGCTCGAGAGGTCCAACATGAACAGGAGTGCCGGTGATCTCGCCGCTAGGATCGCCATCTCCGTCACGAAGAACTTCTGCTTCACTTGCGACGATTTCGGATCGGAGCCTGCCTGGGTCACGGGCCTCTCCAACATGGCTCAGAAGTTCGCCTGCGCTGTGGGCCAGGCGGTGGCGGGAGCCTCCTGGGGTGCGCTGAGCCTCGCCCAGTGCTTCGCCCGGGTGACGCAGTGGGAGGCGGCTGGGAACTACTGCGAGTATTTGTATTCCGACTCTCCGAACGACGGCTCCGACATTCCGGGGACCACTTGCGCCTGTATGCCACCGAATGCGATGTCTTCCGGGGCTTGCTACGCGGCGGTTGGAACCAGGGCCAGCGAGGGGTCTGCGCAGTTCGTGACTTACCGGCATCAGAGGCTGACTTGCGAAACTGGGAGCGGAGCGGCATGCAAGACTTGTGTCACGCCGCAGGACCGAGTGGTGAGAGACCAGTGTGAGACCTGCAACGACGGCCACATACTGCTCGGCTACGTGTGCTCGGCCTACACGCCGTCGCCGACGCCAAATCCGACGCCATATCCGACGCCAAGCCCGACCCCATATCCAACGCCATATCCGACGCCAAGTCCGACGCCGTATCCAACGCCATATCCGACGCCATATCCGACACCTTATCCGACGCCAAGCCCGACGCCAGAACCGACGCCAAGCCCAACGCCACTGCCACCGGGCGCCACGCATGTTCCGACGCCGAGCCCGACGCCAGAGCCGACGTTGTATCCGACGCAAAGCCCGACGCCAGACCCGACGCGGTATCCGACGTCAAGCCCGACACCAGACCCGACTCGGAATCCGACGCCAAGCCCGACGCCAGAACCGACGGCGACCACGGCGACCTGCGTGGACGTTCCTGGGTGGGGGAGCAAGGATGGTACACCTTGCTCTTGGTATAACACGGCCAATGTTTGCACCACGTCTGGAGGCTATGCATCGGGATGGCATTCTGGATGGGGCACATTTGCAGATTGGGCGAACGATGGATATGACGCTACGACAGCATGTTGCGGTTGTGGTGGGGGCACGTCACCGACTCGTTGCCAGTACATCGAGATCCCTTCAAATACATTCGGGTATGTTCAACTGCCGTATAGTAGCAACATTCGAGCTCTGTCAATGTGGCTTGCGCCGTACAAGGATGGAGGCTATGCCTGGGAGTACATATTTGACGCACGTACCGGATTGGGCTCTGGACATTTCTCTTTTCTCGATTGGTCATCTGGATCTGGCAGCGCGCGTATTCACAAGGGCAGCTATTGGAGAGATACGATATATGTCAACGGAGTTGCCGCTACTACTAGTACCCTTGTTGCGAGTGTCAATGCTGCCACCACCACCTACGCCCCGTGGATTCACTTGTACGTATCGTCAGACAGAACTTTCGGCGACGATATAACGGTGTTCGCCCGATTCTCGCTCTCAGAGAATTTGCCTGGAAAGATCCATTCTTTGGCACTGTGGCCGTCCGAGTTGTCCCCGTCTGACATTTTGGCCGCGGCTTCGGGACAGACGACATCAGTAACGCCCACGCGTTCCTATTCCGCGGCAGACTTAAGGTTGTACAGATCGGGGACCGCGTCCCTCGTCGCCAATGAGGTCGGTACTGCGCAGTGCCCGCCAAGCCCGACTCCAGCTTCGACGTCGCATCCCACGCCGAACCCGACGCATAGCCCGACGGCACACCCGACGCCGAACCCGACGCGTAGTCCGACGGCACACCCGACGCCAAACCCGACGCGTAGTCCGACGGCACACCCGACGCCAAACCCGACGCGTAGTCCGACGGCACACCCGACGCCAAGCCCGACGCTGTTTCCGACGCCAAGCCCCACGGCAAGCCCGACGCCGTCTCCGACGCAGTATCCAACGCCGAGCCCGACGCCAAGCCCGACGCCGAGCCCGACGCCAAGCCCGACGCCATCTCCGACGACAAGCCCGACGACAAGCCCGACGCCGTCTCCGACGCAGTATCCAACGCCGAGCCCGACGGCAAGCCCGACGGCAAGTCCCACGCGGACCCCGACGTCTGCGCCCACCTACCCCCCGCTTGGGGACGTGCATGCATCAGGTACTTGTAGCTGCTCCAGCCCCCCCTGTGGATGTAACTGTTGGGATTGCACAGAAGAGCGTCAAGCTGCTGGATGTTGCAGTTGCGAAGATGGGAAGAGTTGCGGCTACGGCGATACAATGACTTTGTGCGACGGTTGCATGGGTTGTTGGTACAAGGGCAAATGTGGTTGCAGTACAGATTCGGTTACTTGGCCCTTCTATGATGTGTTCGGCCTCACGTGCTCGACTGATGCAGGCAGCTACCTGTCCTACCATGCAGTGCCACCGACCTCAAGCCCGACGCCGAGCCCGACGCCAAGCCCGACACCGTTGCCACCCGGCGTCACGTTGTCTCCGACCCCAAGCCCGACGCCAAGCCCGACGCCAAGCCCTACGCCAAGCCCGACGCTATCCGAAACTCAGAAAACTTGCGGCTGCTCGAACCCACCCTGTGGTTGCAATTGTTGGGATTGCACAGCAGCGCGCAAAGCTGCTGGATGCTGCAGCTGCGACGATGGCTGTGGCTATTTCGATCTTGCAAATTCTTCATGTGACGGCTGCAATGGTTGCTGGCACGGCGGCCTGTGTGGTTGCAGTACAGATTCCTCGACTTGGCTTTACTATCGGGCATTCGGTCTCTCGTGCTCGAATGAAACGGGCAGTTACCTGTCCAATCAAGCAAAGATTGCTGGCGAGTACTCCGCGGAGGAATCTCTTCCGGACGGCGTGACTGCGGAGGACCTCATGAGTTCCACAACCTACGTGTCCGCCAAGAAGACAGGTCTGGCTAATGCTCTGAACGTGTCCGTTTCCGACGTTGAGATCACGGGCTTCGTCATCACGACCCATCCCGATCGGCGGCCCGCTGCTGTCCGCCAGCTCTCGCGGGACTCGCACGTCACCGTGACCACGAGCTTCACGGTGGAGATCGTCGGCAGCAAGAGCGCCGCGTCCCTCACCGCCGCGATCGTTGCAAATGCTGACGTCATTGAGGCCGAGACGAACGAAGCTATGGCTGCTTCTGACTGGAGTACTGAGCCGGTCATCAATGTGGCCCCTACGCTGACGGCTCCTTCCGTGGGCGCAGCGGGTTCTACTGCGGGCGTTACCACTGCTCCCACGCCGGTTCCCGTCGTCATCGGGGCCAGCATGGGCGCCGTCGCGGCCACCGGCGACCCGCATCTGCAGAACATCTTCGGCGAGCGTTTCGACCTCATGCAGGCTGGTAGGCACCTCTTGGTCCAGATCCCGAGGGGCGCGCCTACCAAGGTTTCCCTGCTGCGCGTGGAAGCGGAGGCGCAAAGACTCGGCGAGTTGTGCTCGGACATGTACTTCCAGGAGCTGAACTTGACGGGAAAGTGGGCGGACGAGAAGCAGGCTGGCGGTCTCCGGTACAGCGCAGCAGAGGCCGTCACGGAGGATCCCAAGTGGGTGCAGTTTGGGAGGGTGGACCTCAAAGTCGTTCATGGACGTACGTTGGAGGGGATCCGCTACCTCAACGTCTACGCGAAGCACTTGAACCAAGCCGGGTTCTCTGTCGGAGGCTTGTTGGGCGAGGACGACCATATTCAGGAAGCGACCACTCCTGAAAGCTGCAGGCATCGTCGAATGAGCCTTTGGCAAAGAAAGGACGACCCGAGCACGGCCGCCGCCTCTAGCATGGAGCCTAGCTGGGCCAGCCTGGCGTAGGGTGCGTTCCCGGTCCCTCCTGATGCTCCTCTGGGCGGGACACCCTCCCTCACTGGCCCGGTGCGGCGGCCAGCTCCGCCCCCTCTTCTTCCCCCTTTTGAGAGTTCAGCGGCGCTTCCTCGTGCTGCAATCCACCACGGCGCTCACTGGAACTGCGCACCAATGCATCGATAGTTCTATGCCTGCCTCCATCTCCTCGTCCCCGCTCTCTTCCTCGCTTCCCTCTCTCCTCGCTGTTCCCTCTGCTCCTTCCAAACTCCCTTCACTCACCCACCTTTGGCCTTGCCCCACCTTTTACACGTGGGCGTCGCGGCTTGCCTGTAGGCCCACCAAAGAATGTTCTAAGAGCCTGTTTTGTGGTTTGCACGGAATGTGCTTAGAACATTTCTGGCTGAGATCGTCTGTTTTCGCACCTCGGCTTCATGTTCTAAGAACATTGTCTTCGTTCTTAGAGCACACTTCTGTTCGAAGAACAGGCCGTGGCAGGCCTAAAGGAGTGCCAGGACGGTCCGACCCTGCTCAAAGGCATGCCAGCCGTGGTTCTCCTTTGACCACTCCCCTATCTGAGGGTCATCCGCGACCTGCACCTGCTGCTCCCGCCGCTGCCACCGCCTGCCCCCCTTTCGGCGGCGGGCGAGGGGGGGAAGTGAGAAGAGGCGGCCTGCTCTGGTCGGAAGTCCCCCGGCCTTCTCAGATGTTTCTTAAGCCTTCCACGAAGACGCAGATGATGACCCTGCCAAAAACTGTCCGTCGTGGCGCGTCGCTCAGCTATCCTGAGATACGACGACGCGAAACACTTGCAACATGTGGTTAAAAATCACGACCGGAGCCCCGGACCCCATCTGTCTGCGCCATTTCCCGAGCCGGATCAATTTGTGAGGGTCCTGGGCTCCGAGGCGGGGCGGGAGCACCCGTTGTGAAAAAGTTGCAGCGCCAGGATCTCCGGGAACGTTCAACGTTCCCCCTCAATACTTTTACCGCCCAGGAAATGATACACTACAAGATGGCTGTACTCTTATGGCCAGGTTGGACGCACGCCTCCAATAAAGACGCACAGTACTGGTATGTTCTTGTGCGTTTCATGTTTCACGTTTTCCTTCAAGACAGCTCGTCGTCCTCGAGCTGCGGGTATACAGCCGTCCACTGGCCAGCATCCTGAGCGTACGTGTAAGTCGGGCCTGTCCCTCTACAGGAGCAATATTCAAACATAGGCAAAACAAAGTATGGGGATGTTTTTGTCGGCTATTTTTTGCCCAAAAAACATGATTGGAGTGTTTTTATTTTTCCGTCCAAAATCCGCCTGTAGGGGGACATGCCCGACCTAAGCGTACGTCCCACGCCCGGTGCCCCCGTCTCAACCGAGCTCCAACCGCCTCCCAACGTGCAGATGCCAGCGCTGCGTTCCCCGCGATGGACTGGATGCTGCGGATGCCCGCCAGGTGGGGGAGGGGTCTATAACCTCCCTAGGATCCGACGTTGCCAAGAATTGCAACTTCGCCAACAGAAAAAACTCGACCCAGATCCCCGAGCCCTGACCTTCTGCGTCATTTTTCGACCCGGACCGATCTGTGAGGGTCCCGCGGCCCAACATGAGGTGAACACGCCCGTTGGGAATTGGCTTGAGTCGCCAGGATCCAAGGGCCTCCTTCTCGCCCCACCACCTCGTGGCATGCTCGTCCTCAAGACGGCTCTGGGTGGAGAGCCGCTCCCCCTGGAGGGCCCGGAGGCCTCCGGGGAGGCGGGTGCGCCAGGGATGCAGAGATCTCGCGGCGTCTTGGGGGCCCCGCGCGCACTCCTGCTCCGGGAGGGGGGCCTCCAAAGCTCGGCGGCGAGCCGCTGTGGTGGGGTAGCGAGGGGGGGGGGAAGTTTCTCGCTCGAGGTCCCAGGTTTTCGGGCATGTTCGTCGGCTCTCGGCGGGTTTTTCCACCCTCGGGATGCGTCCCAGCAGCTGCGCCTCGCCGAGGGCATTTTGGGGGTGCCCGGTCGTCCCGGAGGGCTATACGGGAGAGCCGAGCTATGACCCGAAAGCCACCATGCGTCCGAGATGGGGCAGGCCTCCTCAGAAGGCCGCGGGGCTTCTCAGAAGCACTCCTGGTTCACACGCGTTTTCGCCCGGTTTCGGGCCCCAGGTCCTGCACATCTCGATCCGGCTAGCTGATTGCCGCAGAAAGATGGGGCTTAAGGCTCCGGTTGTGCATTTTCACGAGGCTGATTTTCTCCGCCACGTCGGATCTCGGGGTTCGATGTCGTTGCACGGTCTGTCATCAGCCCGCCTGGGGACCCCTGAGGTGTAGGTGGCCAGCGGTTTGCCATTCGTGGGCTGTCCTCCAGACGCGGAGTCTTGGGTGTTTCAGGCGCTGACCTGGGCCGCCTTGATCCCCCGAGTCTTCGTACCACGTGGCTAGCGAGCGCCCTAGTGCTTACCTCGCAGAGGGTTTCCGGCGAGAAGCCGCTTCCCCGAGGGATCCCAGCACCGGACACGGGCAGCAACAGAGAATAGGAAGTGGTTTCGCTCCGCGGCCTCGTGCTGACCCTCTGAGCCAGCACCCGAGAGCGCATCGTACAGTCGGACCGAGGTATAAGATCGAGGTCGGTTCGGGGTGGGTACCCTGAGGTTCTTCTTGGTGTTTGTTGGATGTTCTTGCCATCCTGATGGGGGGCACCCTCGAATGCTTCATTTTGGCTGGCGGAGGGTCTCATGTTCTTGAAGGCTGTTCTTCTGTCCCAGGTCCGACTGCATGCCCATGATGCCCGTGCGCAGCGACAGACGGCCCTCCTCCCATCGCTCCGACGACCAGGAACCGAAGCACCTCAAAACACGTTTGAGTACGCGCCGACTCTGTGATCTCCGCGATGGGCCCTCAAGAAATGCAGGAGCTGCCGTGCTGGCGGTCCGCTTCTTGGTCGAGCTCGCCGATGGCTCGGCCTCAAGCGCCGTGCTCGCCGATCTCAGCTCCAGGGTGCAGATTCGGGCTCCACGCTGCAAAAGGACGAGATCAGACGCTGTGAAGAAAAGATGCGACGTCGCGCGAAAAATCATGACCAGAGTCCGCGGCTCCGTCTCCTCCTCCGCCTCCACCTCCTCCTCCTCCTTCTCCTCCTTCCGCCGCCATTTCTGCTCAAGACTGCAATCGTCTTTAACACAATATACACGCAATTCTTGTCTCGCGACAAAACAATAACACCCTCTGTCCATACTCGTCTTTAGTGCCCATGGCGGCCATCAAGCTCCCCATCGTCGTGTTCGCCCGTCTTCTTCTGCCAACTCGCGGTTGGGAGAGTGTGGCCGATAACGTGGCGTCCGACGTGCAGTTGATCCAGACTCGTGTCTATGACCAGGACTTTGACGTGCCAGCGCATGGATCGACTGGCTGTGTTGACAACGATTATGGCGCCGTCCAACTTGCAAAAGATCATGCGCGTGTGTCTGATGTCAGTGGTTGTTCGGATGTC